ATCAAATGAAGATAGTCAGAGAATTTGTAATTTAAGAAACTTTGATAAATATTCCTTGTACATGTACTTTAGTTTGTCATATGAAAGACAATTAAGGCGGAGGAAACAAAAACAGAAGAGAAATAGAAGAAGGAAAGAAGAAGAGGAAGACGACGAAGAATGAAGAATGAATGCTCCCTATTTCCCTTATCACAAATGCACATGTTCGCTGAAAGAAAGTCAAGGACGAAAAGAGAAATGGGAAACATTGGTGCCAGAAACGTATATCGATCGGTACTATTTCCAACAAACAACGGAAAAATAAGACGACATTGAAAAAATGCAAAAACCATTGAAATAGCTAAAGCCAAACAGAAGAGCACGGTAGGATATTAACATATGAAGAAGAAGAAAACAAAAAGGAAAAATAAAATAAAAATAAAAATAAAAATAAAGAAAGACCCGCACAAAAATTCAACATTGGGCAATCAGCAGGCAAGACAGGGAGGGAAGGAAAGGAGAGGGAACGTAAGGAAAATATATTAATATTACATAACGGTTAGGATTATGGAGAAAAGGGGAAGAAATAAGAGGGGAAAATAGACAAAGAAAACCGGCGGAGTAATAGGAATATCAGTTGGCGTTCGGCTGAGAGGACGAGACGAACGGCAAGGAAATGACATTGAGAAGGGCGAACAGAAGCCATTTTCTTCGGTTACATATACGAATGGAATGATGAAGAGAAGCCATCCATTGTCATCCTATATCCTCTAAAAAAGGAAACAAAAGTTCGTAGGTGAAAATGGAAGGCTACAGTACCGTACCTGGATGAGCGGTCATGGCCGTAAAATGTATTTCTCTTCTTCCTTCCTTTCTCTTTTCTTTTCTTTTCTTATTTATAACACTAGCATGGTAACTAGGGACATAAAAGCCAATAACGAAAGCAAAATATTTGCGCCAATGCACCGACGCTATCCTAGAGGGCAAACTTTGCGTTTCGTGGAGGGGGAGAGGAGGTTCATTCTATCGTGGCAGACTGTGGAATTCGTTTTATGAGAGAGGAGAGGGTGAAAGAGAGGGGTATATAGTTGACAACAAAAAGAAATGTTCTTGCGGGGGGTGGGGGGGGGGGGTCCAAAGTAATGGGAAAAATTGGAAACGTTAATCAGAAAACTCGGTGTCTAGAAAAAAAAAGGAAAGGTTAGTAAATTATTATATATGAGTTGAGGGTAGAATACACAATTTTATTTTATGAAACAAATGAGACAGTAAAAAGCAAAATACATACTGCATGAGAAGATCTTCTAAGCTTGCAGAACTGCAATCTCGTCCACCGGGCAGTTGATGGAAAATATCCACTATCGTCGCGAAGACGTCACCATTTTTGTAAGCTAGTAAGGCGGGCGCAGTAACGTGTTCCATCTCTGCTATCTCATAGTGTAATTTAATGAATCGCGTAGTAGACTGTTTACGGGCGACGGTAGTTAAGCAGTCCTCCACAATGTTGCTCTCGGGAGACTAATAGCAACGGGGATTAGTTAAATTTTATATGCACAAGCGCTTTGGGCAAAAAAGAAAGACGTAACTTACTTCAGGATCGTAGATACAAACAACCACGACAGTGTCTGGGGTCACTTTCTCGATCGCGTCTAAGTATCCGTTCGCGTTAACTACCTCGACGGTTCCGTACCTCCGCTTGCTAGGACTGACACGTCTTTTGCTTTTGCGTTGTAGCTCTAGCATACGAGCTTCTCGCCATTGCCGCATAAACTGTTCGTCTTCGGTTTCGTCAGGTGGGGGTGATGCTTCCTTGGCTGGTCGCGTGTCAGACTCCTCTTTCGTCGAGTTGGAGTAGGAGGTATAGTCAAGGCCAGCAACGTTCATAAACGTGCGACGGAATGAGCGTTTTTTCGCTCTTTCATATGACTGAGCATCCGCAATCACTCCTTTGGGTCCAGTGTTCGCTTCGAAGACGGTGGTAGGGAGATGGTAGCCTACGGACTTTGAAATCATGGTGTGGGAGGTATCGGTTTCAGTGTCGGAGTGCAGGTATGTCAGACTCTCCTCGTCATCCGACGGTGATAGGTTTGAATCGTTGTCCGAAGCAAGACAGTCTTCTGGATGACAGGAGACCTTCTCTTTCTGATTGAGGAGGCGGTCGACTTCGTCTTGGGCGGCGGACATTTTGAAGGACAAAGGTGCGGCAAGGCGGCGGGCGGCCCGTCACTTAAATAAAGAAATTAAATCTCAGTGTTTGGATTCTTGTAATCCAATCGGGCTGTAAACGGTGGGAAATGGTTATGTGACGAAGAGGAATTCGTTGTTGGTAGACTGTGGCCAGAGTTTTGTAGAGCAATCAGAGGAACGGAACAGGGGCAGGGACGGGGCACGGAGGACGACGCCAACAACACAGGCTGAAGACAAAAGCCTCTGGGAGACAACTCCTGTGTTCCTCTAGGGGGGCCGATCGTGTTTCAGCCTTGACGAAGGGACAGACAACCTTGGATTCTAATTTCTTGGGAGCGTTAATGCCGGCGCCGCATGTGGTAGGCGTTGGAATCTGCTAGTTAGTGGCCTTGGCGCATTGCACGCTGGCCGCAACGCGTGGTGCAAATCGTGCAATCGATGGGGTTCTGCGGAGCCGATTCGAGCGAGTGAGCGCCCAAGATAGTGCGGATCGCCCTGTTGTAGGCTGAATAACTGAACTGGCATCATGGCATGTGGTCAGTTTCTGCCTCTGGCCACTGTATTTTGGGGAGAACCGTTTTTACCCAGAACAAAGGACGGGCTTCAAGCCGCAATCACGCACTCACTCTTCTTTGGTGGTAGGCTAAGAGTTATAACTATGGGAAGCTAGAACGCACGCACCAAACCAGCGAAACTAACTACAAAACACACATTTAGTTGCTGGTGTTTGATGCTGTCTACATGGAAATGAGGCTGTTGAAAATGTGAAGTTATAAGTTAATAGTATTCCAAGGTTGTTTGTTCCGTTTGGACAGACCCGTGATACTGTTGATACTGTCTGCGCAAATACAGTAGTATATTGATATCCACAAACTGCCACATCTCCCTTAAGTTAGTTAACATCCCATTCCATTATTGCATTATTGCATACACAGTGTACAGGAAGATTCTCCCGAATACCAGCTACTCTACAGTTTTAGCAAGCCACTACTAAAGAAAGCTAACAGTTGGCCAACAACACTTTCGGCCTCGGGTCCAACTGACTGACCGCCCGAGATAGACAACGATCTATCATTTTTATGTCCATCTATCTAGAAGTTTTAAGCGTCGCAAAATAAGTTTCGACTAGCTTGGGGGGGCTGCCATGTGTTCTGGTTAGCCTGATGAGACACGAGGGGTGTCTGAGCAAAGGCTGAAACTAATGCAAAAGGGCTGAGAACAACGTGGACATCCGACGATCCCCCTGTGTTCCCTCCACTGACAGCAGGATGTCGACAGCAGTTTTACGTTAACGACCGAGGAGTTTTTCCGTGATATCGCAAAAGCCCTGGACATATGAGAGCTATCGATAATAACAGTGGGTTCTAGGTAAGCTCATTCAAGCCGATCCTGACAGAAACTGTCTGAATTGTCACAAGACTATTTTTGTATAAAATAAATAAATAAATAAATAAATAAATAAAAATGAAATAACCCTACCTTGAGTAGAAGTAGGTCCATACACTATTTCATAGAGAACAAGTGTTGTTTAAGATAAACAAATTGTTGGTTTCTTTCGCGCAACACCTATCCCAACCCAACCTTTATTAGCACCAATCAAAGGGAGCCCCTTCAGGAGGTTTCATCTCCGGTTATAGTAGCATATGTTGAGTGATATTGAGTGAATATTCAGCATCATAACGTGGCAGTTGCTTATCGAACTCTCAAACCTACATTATCGAGAACAATGTTTGCAAGGATCACAAAAATAACAGCCAAACCACCGACGTAACAAAGAGAACAACAGAATGTTGGAACCTCAACGAAGTCTCCGCAGGTTAACTTAAACCCCGACCCGCTCCTCCCACGTGGCAACCGGAGGCAATAATATCTTTGGTTAGCCCGCCTAGCCTTGACGCGGGAAGGCTGAGAGAATGAGAGAAGGGTGGGTGAAGGGGGGGTTGAACAGAGAAATGCCTAAAAGAGCACAAGGGCCGGCTTGTCATAAAATGTGGCGTTAGCACTCGTTCCCCATGGTTATTCGACTAATATACTTCCTCGTCCTTTCCCGCCTCGCGTTTGACAAGTCCAAAACCAAATTCTTTGTTCACCAGAGCAAATGGCCTGCATTAAATTCTGCCAACTAAGAGATTGCTGAAATTTGTTGGTGGCTATTTTTCCTCTCATGCAGAGGAGGAAGAAGTCTGACTTGCTCATGGCAGCCTGCTTCGTCCAGTTTGTTTAATCCAGAAGCATCTTGAAGCCCAAGATGTAAAATTGATGATTAGGATGACTGCAGCTTACACCGTTGATTGTTAGGTATCATTTGATCATGGGCCCCCCCTGCTGTGGTAATTTGATGTGCTCCTTGGGTACCTATACTTAGCGAGCATGCACTTTTTACACACGCGGTCAATCCATGTCTAGAACTGGTCTATGTCTACGAATTTGATTTTCCGCTAACTTGTGAGACTTCAGCTTCGGTGTCATACAACGGCGGAATTCTCAGCAAGAACCGAAATCAAGCTATTATTCCTTCTGATGGGCCAAATGGGTGATAGAAGAAGTATCAAACTTGTTCAGAAACCAGTAGATACATGGATAAACGAGGAGGGGCTTGACTAAACACCCCTGCATCGTCTCTTGCACAGTCCCTCTCCTTACCTGCATCCCACATCCCACTTTGGATTTCACAGCGATATTTACCCAACATCGTTTGTATTACATCCACGCCAACTTGTTTATAAAAACTAACGAATCAGAGCGTAGCACGGCAAGCACAACAAACATGTCAAAGCTTTCTAACTAATTACTCCCATCCCCACCCGGAGTATGGTTCGCTACTACAATCACCCAATTAAGTCCGGTACACATTTCTACCGCGTAAACTCCCCTTTCGTCTCCTTGAAGATCTATTCATATTCCGGCACAAATTGCATGTACATGTATGTACATGTACATCGCTGCAGGTGATCCGGACGCCTTTTTGGTATACGCAGCTTCTTTATCCCCTACGTATTTCTCCTGCAGGTCCGACGTATGGGGCACCGCTTGTTCAACTAGCAGCTGCGTTTGGCACGCCCTTTGCAATGAGATAAAAAAAGGCAGCTGCTTCGCCGACTGTCGAGCTAGCGGTGATAAGTCTGCCAATATGGGTGTGCTCTGTCAGATATTTGATTATAGTATGATAACTTATTTTTGCAGAGCCATTTCTCACAGAGCACGGGAATCAGACAGATCTGATAGAAAAAGCCACTAGAAAGAGGGGAGGAGCCCCTAGTTGATGCTAGAACGGACTAGACTAACCCGTGATTCTGGAGAATGAGGTTCTTCTTTTCCTCTAGAGCACGGGAGATGTTTTCTCCCTCTTCTTTCGCCAGGACATGCCCACCAAAGCCTTCATAGACGGCGAGGTCTTCATAAAACATGCAGGAATCTGCGCCATTGTCAGTGTGAAATGTGGCCGGCTAAATTCAAACTTGATAGAAGCCCATGACTTCAAAACTAGGCGCGAAAGTGTACTCATCCTCCCGCCAAAGTGGAACGGATGTTTTTAGCGGAGGCGGATCGTTTGTGCTCATCAGAGGGCTTTGATGGTAAGCAGTCCCTTGAATGCTTCAGGACCCATGAGACACAGCAAATTAAACAGCAACCCCATCACATACATGTCCACAAACGACATGACGTTGGCGATTGAAGATTGGAAAATTTCGAAAGGAAAAAAGCTATCAGATCCACAACCCACCTTGATTCAACATTTATGCCCTTGCCAAAGGTTGACCAGGCCCTACTGTAGGGCGAATGCATGTGACATACCGCGTTTAGGTCCGGGCGTGCCTGGTGGATCGAGGAATGGATAATGAGCCCTGCCGTGTTGACCTTGTGCTCTGTTAGTGTGGGCGGAGTTCGCTCATGATATCACCAGTTTACGGTCCGAAACGGTGATGCCGCCGAAGTGTTTGGCGAACGGATCTATGGTTATTGTTATACGCGGCGCGCGGAGGGCCCGCAATGTCAGTAATAGGATGTTCCTCCGTCGATTCAGGACTCTGGCAATCCGGATTTACGGGATCTGTGGAATGAAGCCGTCAGATTAGACTGTTTATATGCATGGATTTGATAACGGAGGAAGGGTTTAACAGGAGGGATGTATCCTTCATTCATTTTGAACCCCGAGCAATTTCGATATCTACTGACGACACAAAGAAAAAGCCGGAAAATGGATAAATATCGAACGAAAGCATGACAGCAAAACAAAAAAAAAAAAAAAAAAAAAAAAAAAAAAAAAAAAAAAAAAAGAGAGAGAGATTTCACCTCTTAAGCTTAGATGCCCTGGTGCGTCCCCCAACTTAGCAAATATCTGAAAAAGGTGCCTGCCATATGTTTCTTGACAAAGGTGGGGGGTGGGGATCTCATGGTGTAATGGGGACGGGAGTGTACGCTTCTGGCGGCACGAGAACAGAAGCAGCAGAACCGTATGATGTGGATGATTGTATCAATGTGTATACTATTCAACAATCTATTCATATAACAAAAGAAGAGTCAATCTTGTAGGAAAAGAAAGGTGTAATCAAATCAACAACATAATACCACACTTGAAGCATTCAAAGAAGCTGAGAACCCTCTTCATATCACGTATATGAAGAAGGGTCACGTTCAGCCTCCGTGATTGATTTGACAATAGATGTTTATCTCTGTGATTGCTATGATATTGATGATTCATTTATCAATATAACATAGCTGATAGTTGATTTGTATTGAGGATCCGCCTCTGCTCAATTCAAATTATAATATGCAACAGAACTCAAGTTGTCACTCTCTTTCTTATATAATATATCATAGTTCTTGATCTTCTTAATATATTGTAGAATATGTTTCAATGCTGATCAGTATTCTTTCTATGAGTGTGAGTTATATCTTGAAAGATAGTTAACTGTAAATGCCAGATTCAGTCTGCTGCTTGAGACTAGATATTATAAGAATCTCAATTCTTATTAATACTATATGACTGTAAAATCATCATCTAGACTACTGCCCTCATCAGATGAGAATTCAATACATATTTCAGTGATTATTGATATACTGACTGAGTTTATCTTATTCAGTTCAAAATCTTTAAGAATCTCCTCTATATAGTAGCTCTGTGTCACTGTTATATTCTCATTTTTCAGACAGTTGACTTTCATTCTCAGATATGACTTATTCTCATTGACACTCTTTGTCTCAAATTGCTTAGCTATCTCTGTTAATATTCAATTTAATTACTGCTCTTGAGAGTCTGTTACTCTGCAGTCATCAATATATAGTATTAAATATATCTTTCAAATAGAGTAATATAGAAAGCTGTTATTATAATATAATATCTTGAATCTCAATGTGATAAGATATTCTGTTACAAGAAAGTATTATACTCTTACTACTTGTTTCATTTCATATAAGCTCTGTTAAAGTAGTCTCACTAAATTGTCTCTATCATGTCTCACATCTGTTGACAGTTGTATATAGACAATCTCATTTAATGAGAGAGTTTTGTCAAGAATACTGATATATAATCAATTGATTTAACTTTTCATTTATTGACAGTTAATATAGTAAATAAGCTATATAATGTGAGTTCTGATATCACAGCAGTATATGATTATTATTATTCTTATTCTTCAATTATAGATGTATGCAGTCATAGACTATGATATCTACCTGAGAATCTTTAGATGTCAGAGTTTTTCCTATATCTATAGAGTCAACTATTATACATTTATCAATTTCAGATATGTAAAATCAGAAAATTCCAGCTCAGAATACAAAAGCTGTTTACAAATTGCAGTATTTTAACACTTTCTGATACTTTAAAATCATTTAAAAATATCATGACAAAGAAAAAGAGAACATAGTCTTAAAGATAGACACATTAAATAGATAGATAGAAAAGAATAAAAAAAGAAAAAGTAAAGTAAAGAGAGACTATAATAAATTAAAATTATTAAAAGATAGTATATAGCTGTTTTAACAGACTATATCTAATCAATTTTCACCTCTTCATATTCAGATATTTCTGAATTCAGCTGTTTTCTTATAGCTGCTTGAGTTTCTGATAGAAAGTCTATTAAGTATTTAATTTCTATCTCAGTTGAGAATAAGAACTTCATATTTAATTAATTTAAATTATACTTCTTCTTCTGTGATTCAAAGGTTGCTTAAGCCAGCATATGATTACAGGCGTACGCCGGCTTCTTATATATTGTAATATTGTATGCTAATTTAATTAGCAGCTGCTATGACCTCTTTATATTTGTATGCGTACACTAGTAGTTCAGAAGCAGCTGCATTATTATTCAACAGTTGTATATTCTTCTAAATCACATTCTTTCTCACCAGATTTGATCATGCTCATATAATCATATTGTACACTCTAGCTTCATGCAGATTAGCTTGCCACTAGTGTTTCACAGTTATGTGATCTATTTCTGATTCAGCTAGTGTTCTGTATATACTCTTACAAAGAAACTTTCACTATATTACATTACTTATTCACTAACTTTTTTCATTCTTCAATCATCTTCTTCATTATTATCATCATTAAATATTACTATCTTATTCAAGATTTCTATCTCTTCTTCTATTTAACTCTTTTCATCTGTTCATCTATCATATTATATGTGTTTCTGACAATGGCCTCTCATTTCCATAACAAGTGTCATCATAGTGCTCATATCAGGCAGTTTGTTAGCAGTAAGTGTAACACATTGTGAAATATACATGATCAGAACTTGTTTAACTTCTAATAATTGTCAGAACATATTATCATGAATAACACATCTTTTTCACCTTCTCATACACTCTCTTCATCTTCTTATATACTCTTAATCATTTCTCTTCTCAGTGGGTTTCTGATTGTGTTTTCTAGCATGATTTTACATGAATACAGATGCTGATATATTTGTTTTTATTTGTGTAGAATCTTTACATGTTGACAGATCTGTGTCTGTCAATGATAGTAAACTCAATGTTGAATTATTGATTGAGAACTTGAAGAATGTGATAATGAAGAAATTGTCTGTGTCATATGTGACTGAGTCTCTCATATTTCTCTCTGTTCTCTCTGTTTCTTTCTCTGCTGCTTTCTCTCAATCTTCTACACCTGTTTCTGTGTCTGATTCTCCTGCTTCTGCTACCCCTGTTCCCACAACTCTCACTTCTGCTACTCCTGGTTTTATCATCTCTGCTTTTATTACCAGCTCTTCTCATTTTAAGGAGATATTATGTAGACTTAATAAATCACATCTCTCAGTATATACACTTTCACTCTTCTTACTGACTCTCAGAATGATTTATTATACAAAGACTGTATATAACACAACTATCTGAAGCTCAGTCATGAACACTGATTATTATATTCATTTTAAATATTTATAATGAAACAATTATTCATTTATATCAGAGAATCATCTCTCTTCTCAACAGTGTTGAAATTGTAAGTCTTTTTCTTTTCATCTTTTCAATCTGACACTGATTTTTCTGTTCTTAGAAGAAATCATTATGAGTTTTACTGTGTATAAAGTTGTGATATTCACAGATATCAAGAAGCTTTTCACAACTGTAAAGTTCAATGTTGCAGAAATATTCACTCTGATGAATTTCTTTGAAATGATAGATTCATATTAATCTATTCTCTGATGTCTGTTATCTGACTTCATGATACAGGTGAAAGATATCTATGTTTTCAGAAACAGAAACACAGATGTTGTACTCTTTTACATCTGCAGATGTGAGGCTCATATATTTTATCTGAGATGTTATTATAAGAATAAGCTGTTCACACACTGTATTCTGCTTTCTGCATTCTCTCATGTTCTTCTCTCTCTTTCTGAGAAGCCTTGTGCATGTTGTAATTGCATGTACAATTCTAAGGTCAGTGAGTGTTCATTCAGTAATTGTTACCCCTGCTTTTACAGTTTCATACACTAACAATAGTTCTTAGTTACTTCAGTATCAGAGGTCATTTTAATTGAAGATGATAACACTGCTGAGACTACTCTCTCTCATCTTCAAGCTTCTTTTATCACTTTCTCTTCCTTCTCTGCAGAGAAGGTTATATGCATATCAGATTATAAGCATTCAGTCTCAGATGACTTCTGTCATTTATTCAGTTCTGCATCTCTCTCTTTCATTTCCTCTGTCTCTGTCTCTTCTTTCTTAGCTTCTGATCCTGCAGGTTTCACACTCTTCTTCAATTTCTCTATATATATGCATGCACATTTCTATATTGACATTCCAGTCAATCTTGTGATAAATGACATTAATGTCATACACAGAGCAGTAGAGGAATCAGAGACATGTACAGTGTTGTTGTAAGAGCAGCTTGCAGTTCTCAAATTTCTTGCAGATCTCAAGTTTTAAGATTTTCTTTATTTTTGATGTTTTTCAGATGATGTAGCATTGAAAATAGATTAAACATGTGATATATAAAAATGAATGAGATGTGTATGATAACATTTGTCTTTTACAGCTGACTCTGTAGAATAGTTGAAGGTTGTATTGATAGATCTATCTACAGGAACATAATATAGTAGTGAGTCACGTGATCTAGTGGGATCACTAACCGCAACAGTCATAAGGGCTAACACCCCCTCTTGAGATAACAAGAATCACATACAAAAACACTCAAATCATCAAGATAGTCTGTCAAAACCAAATACAAATGTAAAATTAAACATTTCCAACTTTTACACCTGTAAGACCTAGCAAAATCATGAATTGCACAAATGTCACAGTGTCTAAAGATTTAGTGAGTTCATTCACTGTCATCTGAGCAGTGAGAATGTATTCTAAATCAATGACCCTCTGATTCAACTGTCAATGTGAAAAATGAAAACATGTGTCAATGTGCTTGCTTCAGACTGTAATGACTGCCATCTTTATGAGATCTATGACATTCTTATTATTGATGAGAATCTGTATCAGAGATGTAGTGATGAAGTCAAGCTCAATCATGAGGTTCTGAATTCATGTTGCCTCGCGGACTGCCTCACTAAGAGTCACATATTCAGCCTTATTGAAACTTAGAGATACATAAGATTGCTTCACTGAACATCATGAAATTGAGCTGTCTGTGAGCTTAAAAACATAGCTGGATATTGATTTCCTATCACCATTCAAGAGACCAGCTCAATTGGAATCCGAGTAGCTGAAGAGTAGGTAGGAATCATCAGGGAAATCAGAGATAATGAAAAGATCAGTAGAAATGAAAAGATTGGTAGAAACAGACCCCTCATACAGGCCGCGTCTGTAGAAAATACTCAGATCCATGATCTCTTTCAAATAATGTATAATGTATAATAGAGCCTTTCAACATTGAGGTGTTGAATCAATGTTTCATTGAGTGAGTAGTGAGACAGTGTGAGTGATATCAGAATATGTTTTAACTGTGAGATATTGCAAGCAACTCACATCATATTGATATCACTGAATTGTGAAATCAGTCTCTTTCTCAGATATAGAGAAATCATTAGTATGAAATTCATTCTTCATTGATGTTCTGATGACAGCTGCATCATCAAGGTAGAAATCTTCAATAAGGTATTTAATATATTGAGAATATGTCAAATCAATTCTCTTATCTGAATAATTGATCTTCATACTCAAATACTTGATTGACTGATGTAGATTCTTGACTTTCAATTTCTCACTGAGTATACTCACTAGTCAATCAGCATTCTCAGAAGCTTCAGATATGATGTTGAGATCATCAATGTAGATCATCATATAGAGGTGATATCTGAATGTATGATACCAGAGTGCTGGATCATGAGCACTGACTGTAAATTCAAGATTACTCAACAGAGCTGTTAAGTAATCATACCAGATCTTCACTGCAGGGTCCAGACTGTATAGACTATTCTCAATCACACAGACAAGCATTTTTGATGAATCTGTCTCAAATTCAATGAGTTGTCTCATATAGACCTTCTTAGTGAGGCATTCATGCAGATATATCATCACTATATTCACTTGACAGAGTATTCAACTGTGTAGTACTGCTATTGCAAAAAGAATATAATTGACAGTATCAGTGATGACAGAAGTGTAGATCTCTTCTCTAGAATTCTTCTTAAGTCAGTTATCACAAATCACTCAACATGATTTTCTAAGAATATCATCAGAATCAGCATTCGGGTCCACAGGCCTATCTTTCTTAAGAAACACTCAATGACTCAGAGCAATCAGTTCACTCCTCAGAACATCAGATCTAGGGATCAAACTCCATGTATTGCATCTCTCCAGATCAGTAATCTCGCGTTGCATGAACTTCTTTCAATAATCTCCTACTCTCCCTGGCCGAGATGTGGCATTCTTGTAGAACTTTGAGAGGTTACCTGTAATGAGGCTTGAAGTGTAAGTAGCCAGCGATTTCGCGGGCTGTAACCATGTGGAATTCAGATCATCAATATCAGAAGTGTCTTCATCATCATCAATCAGATGAATATCGGGTTTCAGTACACTGGCATTATTAGTGAGTGCTGCAGATGTGACAACTGATTCCGATTTTTTAATGATTGAAAATCTCACATCACTACTGGCAATAATCTTGTCAGATTCAGAATGCCATAGATGATATATTAATGTGTCACTGAATTCAATAATACAATAGGAATTGACATGTGAAGAAAGCTTATCTGCAGACTGCTGAGATTCATGCAAGTGAACAAAAACCTCTATACTCAATTGATGAAAATGCCTTACATTCAGCAGGGTATTTGTAAGTGCATATCAAGAAATCTTATATGAACTTGGAATCACAGGAATCTCTGCAGTAGAGGATCAAAATTTCAAGTTGTAAAGAACTGTAGATGTGAGAGTATTATTAGTTATTGCAATCACTGTCTCTAGAACATCTGCCCAGAACTTCTTAGAAAGATTATCTTTCAAAAGAGCAGCTCTAATCTGTCTCATGATAGTATGAATCCCATATTCAGAAACATCATTCTGATGTGATGAATGTGATGCTGTTAATTCTCATTTGATATCATATAAATTCATAACTGTGTGCATACATGTGAATTGGAAAACACCATCAATATCAGTCTGTAGAAAAGCAGGGACTGTATATCTGAGATTATTCATGAATCTGAGCCACAACTCAAAGTATTGAACAGCCTCATTCTTGAACTTTAAAAAATACACTCAACAGTAGTAGGTCGCATCACAGATAATAAGCATCCAGTATTTTGTCCTCTGATGAGACTCTAAGAGGTGATCAGAGAGGTCTTTCAATGTATGTCTGTCATCTGCAAGGTCAATATGAATCTTCTCAATGAGTTGAATAGATCTAGGCATCGGTGTTTTTAAATAATCTTGTGTCATACCAGCCTTGACACATTCCTCACAAAAGAACTTAGTCTTAGAATCTTTAATTATGACTTCAGTATAGAGATTCTTGGTCATAGCAATTATAGCATCAGTGTGAATGTGACTGAGGTTGTAATATCAATTCAAAAGAGTCTTTGATATCTTTGATGTCTGTGTTTTCACATCCGCAGAATCAACATTATTAACAGTAGTGACAGCAGCCACAGGAAGATCAACTTTTCAATCAAAATTATACTCATGAGACATCATTGCAATGTACTTGACTGCCCTGTTCAGATGATTGAGATTCTCATTGAACTCTCACTCATCAATCTTATATATGTTGTTCTGAGTGGTTCAAACTGTATGAAAAATAACACCATTCAGGGCTCTGCAAATGAAAAATGAGAGAATAGTGAAAGACAATGTAAATTGAAATCCCTGATCTTCAAGCTTCACAAATGAGAGCAGGTTAACTGTAATATTGAGAATATAGTGAACATTCTGCAAGTTAACATCATCATTCTCAATCTTCAAGATAACAGTCTCAATCTTCTTAACAAACTCAGTTCTCTCAGTTGCAGAATCAACAGAGATATTATTATTAAAAGATTTGATATTTGAAAAAGAATGAAGCTCACCCGTCATATTCAGGCTTGCAAATGTGTTCAAATATCAAGATCTAGAGGATGATTTTTCAGTGACTGTGAAAGAGAAATAGGACTTAATCTTTGTAATTGCTGCATTTACTGCTGATTAAGAACTCATCAAGTCATTCTTCTTCTCTTTCTTCTTGTCATTCTTCTTGTCATCCTTCTTTTTCTTTTTATCAGAGTGTAAGATGAAACACCTGTTAACAGTATGTTCATATCTTCTGCAGTGAGTGCACTTTCATACAGATGTGCTTTTGTTCTTATCTTTGTTCTTATCTTTGTTCTTGTTCTTTTTCGCAGTCACAGAATTGACCTGAGGCTGCTTTTTTCACTCAGTGATGATTTTCTTGAATGTATGATTGATCAGTTGCTTCATCAAATTATTGATATCAATGTTGACAATGAGTCTCTGATCAGTGAAGAAAAACTCATTCAAATGTGTCTTGACAAACAGTCTTTGATAATCTTGTAGATTGTTGAGGAAAAGATCATAATATACATTCTCAGTGCTCTGACAGAGCTCTTTGTAATGAGTAATAAGATAGTGAAAACATCTCTGAAAAGTAAGATAATCATTCTCCTTGACTTGTAATTTTATCAATTTCTTGAAGACATTAACTCATTCTTCTGCCAGTGATATTATATATTCAACATTGATCTTGTCTCACAGGGCCGCAGCATTGTCAGCTTTCAAGGTTTCAATAGTGATTTGAATGTTTTCAACAAGACTTGATAGTATACATCTATATAGAGACTTGAAACAGATCCTTCACTTCTCAGAGTCAATATGACATGTAAAAGAGGATTCTCATTGAGTTCTCAATAGAATATTAGTTTCATCAATAACTTTCACATCAGTCAACATATCAACATGCCAGGCTTCATAATTAGAGTCATCAAATGTGATCACTGATTTGATGTCTAGTGCATATTTGACTTCCTTCTGATATTCCTGCAACTCATCTCTTGTAGTGTCTCTTTGTGCAGGGACAGGTGTAGTGAGATATTGAGTGGTTTCTGCCGCAGTCATCTGGTTCTGTAGCATCATCTGCATAAGATTCATAAGATTGCCTGCGGTGCAATAGATAGGTTGATTCAAATCACCATTAAAAGTCAGCATTCCGGGAGTGGGGGATAGTGAAGGATTTGAAGGGTTGAAATGAACAGATTCTGCAGATGAATGTTGACTCTGCTTTTCTTTGTTCTGAAGTTCCTCTGTTGTCTCATCATCATCAAATTCCATACTCTGGTGAAAACTGACCTCAGCCTCATCTTGCAAGTCAGAAGCTTCCTCATAATGAGTGATCATTCTATCAATGAGTTGTCTAGTGAAGTGTGTGATCCTGGGCCTTGAGCTGAACTCTGAAGTAACAGACATATCACTTATATTGAGATGGCTCTGCTTCTTTTAGATGTGTAAAAAAAATAAAAAAGTGATATTCTTCACAATGAAGAACATGCTTTCTCAAAAAAAATAAAGTATATGAATTCACTGACTGGCAGATTCAGGGAAAATGAAATATCTCTAATAAAGAGTAAGAGTCTTTTCAAAAAAGGTGAACTATTCATGTCAAAAATGTTGGTACAACATTCTAAAAAGAAAAACATGCCATCCGGGCTATAACCTGTAGAATAGTTGAAGGTTGTATTGATAGATCTATCTACAGGAACATAATATAGTGGTGGGTCACGTGATCTAGTGAGATCACTAACTACAACGGCCGTAAGAGTCAACAGACTCTTACAGTTGATGATTAATTCATTATTTCTTTTCTTACACTTTTTCTTTATCTGCTAGTCACTACTCTTACACAACCTCTATATAATACAGCATTCAGTGACTAGGTTCAGTAGCTTTCATCTTTTGTGATTCTGTCTCATGCATTATACTGTCTCTCTTCACTCACTCAGATCACTATAGTAAATAGCTTATTAAAACTAACCTTGTCTGATCTCTGAGCATTCTTAGAAGTTAAGATGACTTGATCTCATGCATCTGTGAATGTTTCAGATAGTTTATTCTCTGTGATCTCTGTAATTGAACTGATGTAAACAGTTAAATTCAACTCTGAATTTCTTTTTCTTCTACAATCTGACTCATGTATAAGTCTGCTGCTTTGAGACTGTTCTTTGCCATGTTACACTCACTGTCTACAGTGTATTATTATATGACTGACTACAGTCTCATCACTTATTGAAGTGTGATGTTTATCTGATTTCTTCATTTCTTCTCATTCTTTTCTTATAATTGTGAAAAGATTAGAATAAGTGAGATCATCTGATTTATAAGTGTCTATGATTTCTCTTACTTTGTAAGACTTTTCAATTGTAAGCTTCTTCTTTTTCAATACTGATGATAGTGCTGTGAATAATTATAATTCACTCAGGTCTTACATCTTTGCTTTCATAAGTTATGAATTATTAATTAAGTTGTGTAAGATCTGTCCCTCTGATTCTTTCAATGCATACATTCTCAGAGAATGTGATTTGAGTATCTTATATAACTCAAATCATCTAGGTTGAAACTTCTCAGAATTCTCATTGTGTACAAGAACTCACATTCTCATCTTGAGACTTGATTTCTTAATAAGTGAGTCTCATATTCTTTTCAATTGAATTGCTCAGTTCAGAAGTAACTCATTAGCTTTTACACATGTGTGACTGATCTCTTTCAATCTTGATTCTGCATTCAAAACTGTTGTGTCTGCAACTGCTACTGCTGCATTTATAACTGCTGTTTCTGCTATGTTCACAACTGCTGTTTCTGCTGCATCTGCAACTGCTCTCTCTCTCATCTTTTTCAAAGCATTCTCTGAGATGCGTGGATGCAATTCATACAACAGGTAGAATGATGAACACTTGAAGACTGCATACTGTTAAATCTATATGATCAGTAGCACCTGTCTGAGATATTCATCTCATAGTCTTGTAGACTTGCTCACTAGATATTTCATCAGCATATTACTCAAGATTTCATTCAAGTGTTTCATCTTTCTGTTCATTCACGGGTGATATAATGTTGTTCTATGATATCTTGTCTGTAACTGACTCATGAAATGCCTCACTACTTCTTCTACAAGATTCACACTGTTATCAGTTAGAATCTCACACAGCATTTTATAGTTGACATAGATCTCATTATATAGAAACTTCATCATCATCTTCTCTATCATCTCTGAAACTGCTTTCACAACTAGTCAGTCAGTAGTATAATCAATAGCAGTGATTATTCATCAATTTTCATTTGATATTTACAGTAATATGTCTATGAGATTCATCTCTCATTATTTGAATAATTGTACTATATATTTCATCTGATGTTATACTTTCTCACATTTCAATCCTTTCTTAGATTCTTTTATAACCTGATAATTCAAGCACTTGTGAGCATATGTCTGAATGTTCTCAGTCATGCTTGGCCAGTATACTCTTGATTTGAGTACACTCATGAGTTCAGAGCTTTCTAAGTGACTGAATTTCTTATACATATAAGTCATTAAGTTACATCTAAATGAAGATTCTAGATAGAGAGCTTCTGTGTATTCTAGATCATAATAAAGCATAACATTGTTTTTCAATTTTCTCAGCTTGAAGTTCAGAAGCATCTCTTCTACTACTTTTATGAGACACTTATCATCTGACATCTTGTCATTCTTCAAGTGAGAGATTATAGTGTTCACTCATTCTGATTCCTTGCATTCTCTCAGCATGTTTAATACAAATGTCTCTTATATCTGATTCACAGAACTCTCATTCATGAAATTGAGTCTGTGACTGATTGCATCAGACACTATGATGTCTGATCTCTTTCAGTATTTAATATGAAGATTATACACTTGAAACTTCAAGATTCAATATACTAAGTGTTTGAAAGATTTTATCATTGATTATAGATAGATGAGACTTTTATGATCTGTAATCACTGTTGTTATATATCTGTTGTTAATATATCTATCTCATAACATCAGTGCATGCTTGATTACTAGTAATTCCTTTTCATACACTGAGTAATTGAGTTCAGCGCCTGATAGTTTTCTACTATTATATGTTATCAGATGCAGCTTGTCATTCTTACTCATCTGTAGAAGAGCATCTCTGATAGCTCATTTGAATATATCTGTCTTGATATAGAAAGGTTTATCACAATCTGATTGAATAAACACTGAGAATATTATTACATATTCTCTCAGTGTGAGAAAAGCCTCTTTACACACAGTATTTCAGATGATTGAATAAAACTTCTTCTTTTGCAGATTTGTATCTATTTCTCTTAAGAGATCTGAGAGTGATGCAGATATTCATGTGAAATTCTTGATAAACCTGCAGTAGTATGAGATCAATTCAAGAAACTGTTGTACATAGTGTACATTTCTCAGTCATGATCAATTCACTATAACATTCAATTTCTCTGAGATGAGATGTATACAGTCATCACTTACTACATATTCTATAAACTTCAACTCTTCTATTTCAAACACACACTTGATTGATTTAATATAGAGCTTATACTCTGTCAGAGTTATAAGCACTTTATCAAGATGCTTCAGATATTCATTGTATGAGTTTGAAAAGACTAGAATGTTATCAAGATATATGAGATATGAGATTTCATTCTGTTTATGAAGAATTGTATTCATTATTATTTAAAAGATGACAGGTGCATTTATCAGACTGAATAATATTATCAGGAATTTGAACTTTTCTCATTGTGTATTAAATGCAGTTCACAGAACTGACAGTTTATCTATACAGATCTATCAGTATTCTGAGAGAAGATTGATCTTTGATAGATATTAAGTGTTTTTAACTGTATTCAACTGTTGTTGAATTCATGACAGTGAATATTTATTCTTGATTATAAGCTTATTAAGTGCTTGATAATTGATACATATTCATCACTTCTCACCTGCCTTTTTCATAAATAGAACTGGAAAGCCTCACATACTTGATAAGAGTTATATGAGACTATGTTCTAGAAGGTCTGTGATCTGACACTTCTGTTCTTCAAGATATATTTGTGACAGGGAATATGCATTCTGATTAACTGGTTTTGCATTTCTCATGTCAATCTCATGTACAAATCCTTGTTTCAGCAGCAATTCTGATGAAAGATCTGTTCAAAAGACCTTCTCATACTTCTTCAGAAGCTTCTTCATACACTTGTTCTTCTGCATATCTTTTATCTTGGTTTTCTCTGCTTTCAGATCCTGTATGATATACAGAATACTTTTAGATGAGGTCTTGCAAATTGTTCTCTTTACTTGTTAATGTGTAAGCAGATTTAATTCTTCTATATCAGAGACATGAAATGTTCTTCTCATATCAGTTGATAGAATTGTATGAATCATTTTCTTCCTATCAGTCAACTGCATATGACATGTATATCATTAAATCTGTGAATTGAACCTTTGAAATCAATTAAGTCTGAGAATAAGGTCATATTTCACATTCTGCAGCTCTCACACTCAAATATAGCAAGATCATTCTTCAAAGTGCAAGAAAACTCTTACTCTTGCAGGTGATATTAAATATCAGTTATCAGATAATCTTATATATTGAGAATTCTTCACTCAGCAGACCTCTTTCAATCTTCAGATCATATAATTATCAATATATTGTATAGAAGCTTCTGTGTCTGTTAACACTTTTACAGTCATCTCTTAATTCTTACTCAAGTGCTCTCTATATATTAATATTTCAGGTCTCAAGACATTGAGATGAGTGTTCACTTCATTCTCACTCACATCTCAGTCAGAAGCCTGCTTTCTCTTGATGTTCACAGAATTCAGAGAATTATTTAACACAGGCATCTCTTTCACTTTGAAGACTTTTTATAGAATATCAGTGAGTGTCTCTGAGCTCACTGATTCTGCTAGTTTTTTAACTCTCTTACTTCTCTTGACTGTGCACACTGAGTGCAATCTTTTGCATCATGATTTTGACATCTGCAGTTAAAGCAAGCTCAATATTCATGATATCAAGATTTTCACTCAGAGAATTTCTTTTTCAGAGAATTCAGTGCTTTAGTAATGACATTCAGATCTAGATTCATTGTATCTGAGTGTGTGACTTGTGTCATAGAAGTCTGATTACTCATTCTTCACTGAGACATACTTGATTGCAGTATTTTCTGTTACAATTGACTCACTTGTTCTCATATAATGAGAATATTATATGCTTTCTTCACTATGTCTGACTGTGAGATTAAGCATTTTCATTTCACTCTCAACTCAGGTATAAGATTATGAATAAAGATCTGTAAACAGAAAGATGTTGAAAGCTCTTCATTCAATATAAGATAGTGTAAGCTGAAGTATATAAAGTATGATATAAGATCACTCACTTATCTACACTCAGTGAAGTATTTATAACACTTAT